TTCTCAAACTTAGCCCCTTTCTAAAATTCTAAATTGTGATTCGAACATCCTCACTAATGACATCATACATAGCAATAGGAAGCTGATCAATAAAGTGCACAATCTCTTGACGAGTTGTTAAACATGACTGGGAAAATACTGACATTAAAATATAAAGATATTGACTATCGGTTCTGAAAATGATTCGATCATCTTAACTATATCGTAACTGAGAATTTATGAGCATAGAAATAGTAAATTGTTAATTTAAAACATGAATCAGCACTTACCTAGTAGTCGGCGAGGCGTGAACGTGACTGTTCAGGTTTTCTGAAAAATTTTCTGACTCGTGAAATATTCAGAGACGCCAAAACGTGCTCTGATACCATCTGTAACACCCTGCTATTTCATGAAAATCAGAGTGCGTTATTCGCAAAGTTTTTCAAAATAAAAACATTTTAAGTTGGCAAATTCTGATTCAGAGTGCTACCATAAACCATGACTTTATCTGAAAACTGTCATTTTAGTTTTAAAGACAAACAAAACGGTTTAACAAAACATATTAATCGACTGAATGTCGGATCAAAATCTAGTTTCGTCAAATAGTCGTAATCAGCGGAAAAACATAGTGTCGCCAAAACATTTTTAAACATATAACCAAAATCCTGAACCGACCGCCAGCTCACTCCTCAGCTCCGACCCTGTGACCTGAAAAACATGAATAATGTGTGGGCGTGAGCACTAAATCAACTGTGCTCCGCAGAAACTCATACTAAAGTAAACAGTGAAAATAATAGCAATATCATGATCCTGGCATGAACATGAACATGAAACCGGTACTGAGTAATCATGATCTGATACTGATGGTGAGATAATATCATCACATGCCTGATACCTGGACATCTGCCAGCATAAATGCCGGACACCATGTGCACACTCTAGTGGGCAGACTAAGGCCACTAGAATCCAGAATGGACCGACGACCATTCCGAGCGGATACTGAACTGATAATACATACCTCAAACATGGTAGAGTAATTATAATCAATGTAATATCCAGTCTGAGTCCCACCTGATCCG